GGGGGGGGTGACGGGTGTTGCGTTCAAGGTGGGGCCAGCACGGGGCAGCAGCGCCCGTGCAGCTGTTGCGGTCGCGGTGTGCGGGCGGCACGGCTGGTCGGCTGTCCCAAAGAAGTATCAGCCCTGGCGGTGAATCAAACCGTGGAGCTGCTCAGGAAGTCATGGTGCCCGGATCAACCGTCGACCCCTCTTGCTAAAGCTTGTCCTGGCAACCGCACTTTTGGGTGCACCCCCCACACAAACACACACACCACCAAAAGCGCTCGTGTCCACGCACCTTGGCGGCCGCGTTGGGCGCGCAGCTGTGGTTGCAGCAGCTGTGCAGCGCGTAGAACGCAGTGCCCTGGACCCCGCAGGCCAAGGGGTCGTCTCCCAGCGCCAGCTGCAGCGGCTCCAGCTGCGTGATGACAGGGGTGGGGGTGGGCCGGAAGGGGGCTGGGTGGCGGTGGGCACATGTGCATGTGCGTGTGTGGCAGTGGGGCACGTGCGCGGAATGAAGGGCTGTTGCAGGTGTGTGCATGGGGCAAAGGACGTTGACGAGTCCCAATCAGGTGGTGTACGCGAAGGTGAGCAGGTGGGTCACCCGCACAAGGCGGTGGGCACCGCTTTGGCCGTGTCCGCTGCTGGTCGGGAAGTAACCCAGCGCATGCGAGCCTGCAGGGCCCGCGCGATGGAAAGCAGCGACAGCAGGCAGCATCCCTCAAAAGGCCACGGCATGCGTGTTCCGCTTATCACACCCGTCCCCACCGCCGGCCGCGCCCGCTCGCCTGCCGCTCGAGCTCGGCCCTCTCCACTGCGTCTGGCAGCGCGGCCGCGTCTCGAGGCAGCGCCAAGTAGCTAGCCGCGGGGGAGGGCACGTTGATGGCCAGGTTGTTCTGCTCAAACATCCCTATTATGCTCGCATACACCTGCATATCAAGGTCAGACGTTTGCAAGGCCAAAGCAGTGGGGTCCATAAGGCCAGGGGTCTGCAAGGCCAGAGGTTTCTCAGGCTAGAGGAGGGGGGGTCCAGGGACAGGGTGTGTGTGGGCCAGCGGGCCGACGGGGCAGCAGTCAGGGCGGTTGCCAACCGACATATGAGGGCGGTGCAGTGGGGGCAGGGTTGAGGGCACGCTTCCTGTGGTGCCCAGGGAGAGGGCATCTGCCGCTTGCGAGCGTGATTGCAGTGCGTTCCGTGGCGGGCGCCGACGCGTGGCACAGACCAGGGCACAAGGCAACGCAGGTGCTAGGCGGCGGCGAGGCGTGCGCGGCGCTGCTGCTGCTGCTGCTACACAAAATGATGACTCACAGACACCAGGATGGGGGTGGGCCCACCTCTAGCTCCAGGAGCTCAGGCCAGGGCACCTCCACCCAGGCGGCGCGCAGCAGCCGCAGGGACGATGACGTCATCTCCCTTGAGAGGGACGCGCGGGGCGCGGTGCGGCGCGGCGCGGCGCGGGGCGTCAGACGGGCCTCTGGCGGAGGTCATTGATGGTACCTGCTGAGCACAAATTGCACCAACGGCAGACAAGGCAGCACCCAAAGCCACTTCACGTCAGAATGCAAGACCCAGCCTGGCCGTCACCCAGATCACCAGGGCCCCCACCTGATCTGAGCCCTGAGCTCCTCCTCATCCTCCCCCTCCTCTGCCGCCACCACGTCCCAGAAGGGCGCCTTCTCGGCGACAGCGAATTGCAGCCACGTGCGCTGCAGCGCCTCGTGCCTGAGCCGGGGCTCAGCCTCGGCCGCACCTGCGCTGTAGGGCGCCTCCACAGCCGAGGCAACGACGCCTGAAGCCTGCTGATCTTGCTGCCCCTGCTCCTGCTGCTGCTGCTGCTGCTCCTGTTGCTGCTGTTCCTGCTGCTGCTGCTGCTGCTGCTGCTGCTGCTGCTGCTGCTGCTGCTGCTGCGATGCCAGGGTTTGGTATTCCTCATGCGCCCTCACAATTGTCATCGCGAGTATCTGCAGCCGACGTCAAAGATAGGCAGGAGGGGTCCCCAGGGGGTGGCAGTGTGCGGGAGAGTGGATGCGGGGTCGCCAGGGAGGAGCGCTTGGGAGCGCGCGTCATGTCAGCCGCCACCAGGCTGCAGGAGTTGCGGCGGTGCAGTGGGAAACAAGCGCTGGGGCATGCAGAAACTAGCTGCCGCGTGGCCCGTGCTTGCAGTCTGGACAGCCAACGGGCAGCACGGCAGATACAAGCACACTTCAAACAGCGGCAGCAGCATCAGCAGCAGTTGCAGCAGCCGCAGCAGGGCACCTCTCTCGTCCATGCCCAGGTGGCCGTGCCTCTCAGGGGCACCGAGGGCCCAGAAGCTGCCGCCCCACCTGGGCAGCCAAGCGGAGCATGTCGTTCGCCTCGTCAGCATCCTCCAGAAACGCCGCCAGCCGCGCCCGCCGCAGCCGCACGCCACACACCACCACCTCTGCCGCGGCCCCGCCGCCCCGCCGGCCGCCGCTGCCGCCGGCGCCGCCGCCGCGGGATGAGCTGCGGGCGGAGCCGCCTGCGGCTCTGCGGCTGGCAGCCCCCGCTGCCTGCACCCTCGCCTTGCCCTTCCCCTTCGCGTCGGTCTCGCCACCGCCGCCACCGCCGCTGACGTCACCAATTGGGCAGAGGAGGCAGTGGTACTGCTGCCAGGCGGCCTGGGCGCAGGCTGTACTGCAGTACCGCTCCTCGCAGCCGCCCATGCAGGGGACCTGCGCCCGTGCGGCCGTGGGAGGGGTGCTGAGGGCGCTTGGCTCCACCGATGGGTGTCAAGAGCGCCATCAGATTGCAGGCCACACATCGGCAGGTCAGGTGAGGAGAAAACCCAATGTGTGGGCTGCATACGACAAGCGCTTGGTCAACAAGGGGCGCCCTCACATCTGCTGGGTTGCTGCCCAGATGTTGCAAGCAATGCCAGAGGGGAAGCTGCTCGCGCATGGAGGAAGCTTCTCGCTCCTCACCGCCTGAGGGGTGCGGACCAGCTCACTGCGTGGCAGCTGGTGGGTGCCATTGATGAGTCCCTCCAGGGTTTTGGAGTCAACAGCCGCCTCGATCTGGGCGAGGACAGGGCCCCGGGGGGGGGGGGGGGGGGGGGGGGGGGGTGGGGGGTGGGGAGCGGGCAGCCGGAGTGCAAGGCGCATGCAGGGGGGAGAGCGAGGACGGGGATGTGTAGTATGGATGGGAAAGGAGGGGACGAGATCAGGGCGGGTGATTGGGTGGAAGGGGCGGACGTGGCTCCTGAGATGGTTGCCCTACTAAGGAAGGGTGCGGGCAACCGGAACCAGAGGGGTCGGCCGTCGAACGCTTGGGTCCCAGAGGCGTGAGATGGTTCAAGCTTGCGGCCTTGATTTGGGGGCTCAGGCGGCGAAACCAGGGGTAGCGACGGCAAGCAAATCCCTCACCAGCTGCGCCTTCTGGGCAGCTTCCAACGGGTCCACGGCCTCGTCGTCCTCGTCATCGTCGCTGCCGCTGTCACCGCCGCCGCCGCCGCGGGCGTCCCGCTCGCCTGTCGCGCGGCTGATGCGTCCGATGGCCGTGCAGAGCAAATCTGCCACGCATTTCTCAGGCGTCACTGCGGTGGGGAATGCGTCGCCGGGAGTGTGAGAACCTGCAGCTGAAAATGTCAATCGCAGAGGAGGAGGGTTCATCGCAGACTTTCCCAACCAGATGTTTCTTTGAAGCACGGCCATCGGCACCAAGCTGCAGGTGAAACAGAGGGTATGTGAGGGGAGCGGGTTCTGCTGTGCCTGAAAACCTTCAGGTGCCGGCTGCTCCCCACCTATGGCTCTGAAACAGTGGGGGCAGGCCGGGACGTCCGCTTTGTTCTCCGCATGCTGAACGCCGGCCTGCAGCAAGGGAGGTGGGACGCAGCATACACCCACGCGCTTGCGCTTGCAGCAAGACAGCGCTGCAATGCCTGTGCTGCACGCACGCAGCTCACTTGATGCGAGGTCGCGCTGTGGAGCCGAGATGCTTTCACCAGGTACTGCTTCGTTGCTGAGCCAGAAAACGGCGTTGCTCACCAGTGCTCGCTCGGCAAAAACGAGGTCCCCTTCTTTGATATCACTGGTGACAAATATGCCCTTTCCCTTGCCGCCGCCGGCGTCCAGGCGCACCTCCAGCGGCAGGGGTGGGGACTTGCTCGCAAGCAGCTGCAGCGGGGAACGGCATGGGCGGTGCGAGCAGCAGCGGCGAGTGCGCATGCTCAATGGTTGAGCCTCCGTCCTGGCTGCATGACAAGTACGCATAGTAGAATATCCATTCGATCGCACCCGCTCGTGATAACCTGCTGCGTCCTTCTGAGTGGGCGGCCGCAACAGATGATCTGCCATCGCCTGCAAACTACAGAGCTTTCAATTTGTGGAACGCCACAATTGAAAGCGTGTCGTGAGCGCTTCGTCCTGCTCTGCATCAAGGCGGGGTGACTCCAGTGACAAACCACAGTGACGTGTCAGGGGCGCTCAGTCCGACTGTGTTCGGGGGCTGGCTGCACGGGCAAGCACGCTGCCATTTTTGGACAGTAGACCCTGGAAATTATGCATCACTTTCACATCCACCTTTCCGTTCCTCATAGGGCCTGTGTCCCAGCACACCCGGAGTCAACTGCTGCGGTCAACTCCTGTTCTTGCTCCATATTGCTGCAAACCCCGCACACCCTTAAAGGTTAAGATGCACACATTGACCACCTGCACCCGCCGATGAAGCCAGCAAGTTCAAAGCCATTCCTTTCTACACCGTGTACAATCGTCCTTGACTGGCGACTCATCGCCATGCCGGAGAAGGTCAATTATGGAATGCTGGCCACCAACAATGGGTGGTCGCTCCAGCTCGATCAAAGCCCGCGCCGCGTGAGCCGCAGCGCACCCCCACTGCCTCAAAGCAGAGGACAAGCTGTCTGCCAACGCTGGCCCCATCCCATTGAGCACCCACGCTTTGCCATTGCTTTCAGTGCTCGTAGATGCCCTGCAGGTAAGGGGGGGCGCGAGGCACACAAGAATAAGACGCCGCTAGCCCCGCAATCTTGGGAGCACTGCCGATCCCCTTCCTCCAGGCGCCAAACCTGTGTTCCAACCGCTTTAATAACTTTGCTAAGAC